CTGCAAGAATCAATTTTATATGATGCGCATCATCAAAGCTTTTAAAGTTTTGAAATATTGTAAACCTGCTAATCATGCTGATGCGCACCCTCTGTTTTCGTCTTAGTTTTGTAAAACAAGGTGTGCGTGATAATCAAGTACAGTAATTTGCATTCATGATTTCAAGTGAACCTGGAAAATATAATGTTCAGTACTTCGATTTCCAGGTGCATAAAAATCACCTTTTCAGCGCGGATTCGGGGAACGGGTTTTGGCATTACACTCGGCACAACAAACAAGCAACCATCAGAGCCCTATCATTTTCAAATCGTAAGAGAAACGTTTCTCACCTGTTTCCGACGCAGTCCTGACTTCATGATCGGTTGTCCTTCACTCAGTTGACCTGAAGCGTCTGAAAAGGCGACAAGACCGCGCTAACGTTTATTCTCGATAAACCAAACACTGCTTTCCATAATCGGAAACATTATTCCTGCAGACGGAAGTACGCGAGACGAATGTTATCCGTGATTCAACAAAATTACAATAAATAAATGCATCGCGCGCGGATTCAAAAAAATACTTTCAGAACAGTACAGAACAGAAAAACTGTACAGTACAGTGCTATCTTCAGTATAGGCATCCATTTTTATTCTTCACCCCGAAGTGCCAGAACGCGGACACCGATGAATGCCACATTTCGAAAAAAAGAAAACGAGAATAATTCAATTATTCTTTCCCAGGAGTCGATCCACGAAGGCGATAGCCCTCTGTTTGTGGAGAACTCGGAATTGTTGTTTGGGGGTNAGGCGATAGCCCTCTGTTTGTGGAGAACTCGGAATTGTTGTTTGGGGGTTAATTGTACCGGTGCTGGTCCCGAATCAACTTGATGCACGAAATTAGACCCATTACGTCTCTGTGGCACCTCAGACACCATCGCAGACCACTCATTCACGTTTCCCCTGAAAAAATACAGTTCATACTTCACATTCGCAAGCCATCAAGAAAAGTAACGCGCGAGTTATTCAAAATTCTTCCAATTTTATTTTGCCAACTTCAGTGATGAGAAGAACTGTTGAAAGACCAATGAACAGAAGATTATAAAAACGTTTCTCAACATAATATTCAGAGCAATGACACGTACATCTAAAATCCAAATAACTATCGCCAATTATTACCATCATTCTTTTGTACTAAAATTAGATTTCTACAAAAATGATCAAATGCAAGATAAGAAAATACTCAACTTTCCAAAAAGCTGATATACTAATGTGATACTGTAGCCAGGAACAAACTCAATTTAATTTTCCTCCCAGACTTTAAATACAGTAGGACATCATTAAAATAAAAAATAATTGGCTGTATAATGAAAAAATGCTCACAATTAACAGTCATTTTTTAAGACCCTGTCCAATAGCCACAATGTTAAATATGTTAATTCATCACAAATTACTCATTACAACAAAGGTACTTTACCAGCTCCAATGGCTTTCTCGTAAAAAGATTTTACTCCATACTGATGGTAGATTTCCACATGAAATTATATACAGGAGACTGGATATTTTCAATTTGTAGAATGTGGAGCTTCAAACAAATTGGAAAAGTTCTAAAATATTAAAAAAAAAATGTCCCTAGAACTCACCCAGAATTCATCCCACCAGAACTTGGAGGACCATACAAGGCTTGTTGATTTTCGGTGTTCAACAAATTTGGGTTCCTTGCAGGGTTAAGTGGAGCCACAAAAGGAGCTGGAACAGGCTCAACTCCAACAACAGGCTCCACTTGAGAACGAGTAAGAAAACTGCTCTTGAAAGCCTCGAACTCCTCCTGAGCATTGCATCCAATTTGCCCACCCTCAGAGAACTTCTCAATATTTGACTTGGGAAGCAGCTCAACAACTCCTCTCAACAGGTCAAACTCACCTGACTGGAAATTAACAATTTTATGAGTGAACAATAGAGTATGGGCAGAGTATCATCACAAAAAAATTCAACAAAAATGGGGAAATACTTTTTCACAGTACAGATGGACTCACTCCACAACAAAATTCAATGGACCATAAAAATGCATTGAAGAGATAATTTCATTGTAAAAAAAACAACCTCTATCATATTGGGTTAAAACAATGGGACCACAAAATGTCTTGTACAAAGAAAATCCTTAGACAAGATTGTTTCAGAAGGATTCTATGTGTTAAAAACTTAAATAGGACTCATGCTTACACATACACCTCCTTTCACCCAATGTTATGATGAAATTTCAACCTGTAGGTAAGCAAAAAGTTGAGAGAAAAAAAAACAGCATCAATCAAATAGGAATATTCTTTCCTCATCACGCCCACAGTAAGAGCTGGAAACTAATTATATTTTTGAAACAATTCCTGGTACCTCATAAAACACAAAAATATCCAGTTACCTCAGCAAGTCTCATGATCAACTCAGGACTCGGAACCAACAAATCCCTGTTCGAAACGCTTTCCGAACTATTGCGCTGTTGTCCAGACTTGAGAGAATTCATCGTAAGACTTCCCTGTAAAAAAAGACAAACGGCAAATTGATGAGCCACTAATAATAAATCCAGACGGGAAAAAAAATGCAGCGATCATCAAACAGATAAATCTCGATCAAGGTCCCCCGCGCGTGCCGGCGAAAATGAATCAAATTAAAAACTGAACACACTCCCTCGCTCTAATCTTCTCCTTAAGCCTGTTTATTGAAGACTTGTGTGGGTCGCTGTGTGAAAGGCAACATTCCAGTCATGACTTCCCTTCTGCATCTGTTCAGACAAAGTCCGGTGATAACAACATCCTTGGCAGGATGCTTCGTGCCGATTTTTGGCACAGTTCTCGCGGATGGCTTTGCGGATTCCGCAGCTGTCCAGGCCACAACAGTCGCTGAATCCGGAGGTCAGAAGATCCTCAAGATCATGACTGGTCGCCAATTGCCATTCTATGGAGACCCAGAAACACTACACGAGTAATATCACACATTTTCAATTTTAATCAAAACATTGACTTTTCAAACAAGAGGGGTTCTTTTTATACACAGCTGGGTTTACGTCGTTCCGGACACACAAACCACGGAGAAAATTGTTCGAAAGATGCGGCGAGTGATGAGCCCTTACTATGAGACCACCTTGTTGCGGGTTTCTGCGGGGATAAGCCAGATGAACAGTTAAAGCTCATCATTTCTATAAATCCATGAAAAATTAGATTCTCATTCTCTGAATTATGAACTGATTATAGTGATTCTCCAGCAATTACTTCAGAATCAGGGTGAACTGCGTTTAAAAATTGGAGAGATGCGATCACAGCATAATAATCAAATTTACATGAAAGGAAGGAAGGACGCGCGGAAGAATAGGATCGTGGGATTACCTCAACAAAACTCACGCAAAGAAAGGAAAAACTACTCGATTCATTCGTCAAATGCCATTATTCCTCTAATGAGTTACTTCTATGCCGGTTTTGCACTTTCATCTTACGAAACTTTCACACATACAGCCGAGTCATATCGCACAGTTCAACTTTCCGTTCGGAGTTTTCTAAAATCTGTAACATTTGTTTCATTTGTAGTCCTCTTTTCCGTAATGAAATCCCACTTCGAGAACCTCCAAAAAGAGGTATAGAACGGGCCACTTCCTCCATTTCAGGTGCAGTTTCCAATATTCAAGAGCCGAACAACGCAGCCCTCAAAATTGGCATGATCTCGCTCGGAGGGATTGCTGGCTTCTTTCTTTCCATGTCGAAGAGCTTGCCAAGCAAAGTCGCCCTGCCTCTTGTTGGAGCTTTCGGTGAACTACATCATTTTGAAATTTGAGTTTCCTAGAATTTGTCTTGTAAGGTTCCTCGACATCCAGGGATGGCCGCGTTTTGCTACCCGTACAGCTTGCCGAACATCAAGAAGAACTTGAGCGAAGAATGTAAACGAAGTGGAGAAATGACCTTCTGGTTTCTCCGCAGTCGTAAGAAAACTATCGCGAAGTTATACAAAATTCGCTTTCATAACTCCAGGTGATTTTCAGTTTACTGCGACGCCATGGAAACTGTAAGCAGTAATCGGGCAAATCTGCTTGACGCTAGTTTACCATTCGAAGAGGCCTCAGCTCTAGAAATCACCACGATGCAGCAAATGGATGCCGTAAGCATCTTCAGTCAATAATTTCAATGAAATCATTCCATCGGGGAACCTCTTTTTCAACTCAGGGCAGAGAAGCACCGATGAGCTCTTTGGTGACAATGCTCCCACCTCCTCCATCCATCACGTCCACCGGCGGTTGGCATAACATCAAGGAGTAAGCTTCACTCACCATTTCGTCGTTATTCCGTGTATCGTTCTTCGAAGTTATTCGTTTTCAGTATTTTTTTTATTCACATTAAAATGAAGGAATAATTTTCTCGATCCGTGTTCAGAAAGTGGATTCCTTCGTTTAAACTCACCGGTAAATGTTGCGTTCCACTTCGTGAACGTACAGCGGATATGATTCACCAATAAAGATCGCGCTCTATTTCACTCCGAGTAATGAAAAATCGAACGTATACAGTAGATTGTATTCAATCGATGCACCGATTTAACCTGATGGCAAAATCACGAGAAGATCATCGAAGAAATCTAGGACAATTACCGCACACGCTATAATCAGTCGGACGTTTCTTACGAAAGTTGAAATTCTCCGCGATCGCACAAAATAAAGCGTTAGAAAAGTGTCATAATGTTCACCCAAATTGGATCACGTCCAAGCATTGAAACTGTGCTAATTCGTCCACTAAAACGATTACGAAAATGCAACGTTTTCACCGGCACAACGAACTCATCCATTGGCCTGAACTCATCCAATACAAGGAACTCGCCATGAATCAATGAACTCTTCAAGAACATAATGAAGACGAGCTCCACTAACCTACATATCCACGTCAATCATGAAACTTATGATGCATTTCAAGTCAAGTTAAACAGATGAAAGAGTTTCACAGCACTTGAATGTAAGTTATTTCCATTTCAATTTCAGCATCAAATTCAATTCACGCAATATC